CCCCCCCCCGGGCCCCCCAGCCAAAAAATACAACAATGTATTTCATATTCATAACAAAGGAGAAGATATCGGCCGTCCCGCCAGTCCGGTGTCGATGTGTCCGCGCTGTGGACTCCATATCTCGGACTGCATCATGATCCCATGTCCGGTACTACAGTAGCCTATATCCCGTATGAGCTACCTAGGTACTCCTACAACTGACTCCCTTGTCGTTTTTGTTCAATGAGAGCGAACTATTGAAAGGGCCATACTCCTATAGTACCAATTCAGATCACGATCCAGCCGCCGTAGCTCAGAAATTCAAAGCCGCGAATGTCGGCGAACCGATTTCTGCTCTGTGTCTGTGTCTGTCTGTCGCGCTGGACCTGCTGTTCGCGCTCGCGCTGATACATGCCGTAGAGGGGATCGATCTGGCTCCAGGCCCGAACAGCCACGACGGTCTCTCTGTCGCGGTCCCTTTGTGGTGACTGTCGTCGTTGTCGGTGGTGGTGGTGGTGGTGGTGGCGTTCTTGCCTCTCGTGCTGGCATTCGCCGGTCGACGGCGTCGTGCCTGTAACGATATCATGGTCTGTGACGGTGACGACAGGGCTGTCGATGCCTCGCCTCTTCTCCCGCCGAGGCCGTGACTGTGGGCTTGCGACGGGAGGTGGAAGTGCCGGCGACGGCGACGGCAACGGCGCGTTGAAAAATTCCATGGACGAGAGAGGAATATCTCGAACGTCCGGCATGCTTGGGTCTGAGCGGATGGCTTCAGCGCGGAGTGTCAGAGTGAGGTCCGTCTCGATCCCAAGCGTCGAGGCACTCCAGTTTATGTTGCCGGTCTTGATCTCCTCGAGCGGGGACCGAGACCTTGGAGTGGACGCAAGCTGGGGGTGTCGTGCGTTCATACAACAGCCCAGACCGACGAAGTAGGCCATCTTGCTCCATAGCTTTGTGGTGTCTCGAGGTGGCAGGCTGGCGCCCGTCTCGACAGCTTGCGTGACCATCTTCAGAAGCCGGTGTACCATACAAGACCGATGCTTCGTCCCTGGGGGTAGGCACCGAAGGCTCGGCCTAGACTTTCGACCGCTTTACGTCCCCAGCGACGGGCCCGTCGTTCCTCGTTGATGACCGGGTCGTCTGTCGAGCTGGACGAGGTGGATGATGACCTGCTCGTGATGCGGGAGAAACGCGACGACTTGCTGAAGATCGATGACTGCGTCGTTGTCGATGCTTGGGTTTGTCGGCGGTTGTTGCGGAAGTAAGAGCCTGCGGGCGTGGATGCCGTGTCTGAGGGAGATTGAGGAACTGTCTCCCGGGTGTAGGGTGCTGCTTGATGCTGAGGTGGAAGGTGCGATGGGAACGAGGACATAAATGTCATCCTGTTCCCGCTTTTGTTCCGCGAACTTTTGGTTGAAGCAGTGCTGGCCTCTGAAATGGACGCGAATGAAGTCCGTCGGGGGAGTCGCGTGATGGTCGAGTTCCGGAGGATTGACTCTTGCACGAAGCAGGCTTGCATAGATGGGATGCACTGAAGGGGTTCAAACCAATATATGACTGTGCATCGGGCCGCTGTGGCGACTTTTATTGATTACCGCTGATTCTGATCTCGGGGGATAAAGTGACATTGAAAGGGCTGAAGGGAGAAAAGTCGGGATGCAGGTGCGAAGGTATCTCATTAATATCCTTGGAGGGACAGCCAGGTGAGAAATACTCCCGTTGACATCTGCCACACAGACTAAAGGATGATAATTGTCAGGCCCAACCACATCTGGACCACCCACCTTGTGAGCAGGCGACCGATCATCGAGAGCACGCATTCAGTAATCGAGCCGTAGATCTCCATGTCGGGCCCAACCCGTTGGACCAGAGAACGACACGCAAGCTCCTCTGCGCTTGGAACTGGCAAAAACGCAAACCGGTCGCCACACGCGTTGGGAGGCGTTCGCTGGAAATGGGGAGCATCGACGTCGAAGGCTGATTAAGGAAATGAGAAGGCAGATGAGCTAAGCGGCAGCCTGACGTGAGATCCGACTCCAGCACCTTCACGCCCCGAAACCTTCCCGTCGTGATAGGTCAGCCCGGAGAAATCCTCATGTGGGTTCGATTTGGCAGCATGGGGGCCAGAATATCGCCGGATGTGGTACGGGAAGATAAGCCAGCATGGTAACACCAATGTGTTGTTCGTAATCGTGCAAGGTGTTACGGGCCCAGATGATCGAAGCACACATCTCATCAGGCCTGGAAGAACATGTCCAGCCACCGTGCCAGTGCAAAGTGCTGGCCTACACACCGTTTCAAAGACGGAGTCTGCAGTTTGTGTCAAATATTGCAAATCGAGGCGACTTGGACTTGCACGGACGCCTGATCGACGCCTAAGAACAATAGACTCGCTATACCCACGAATTCCTGTTCGTGACAATCTTCATCCTCCCACAGGGTTCAACGCCTGGGGGTAAAGACCTCTTTTCCATCATGCCATATCCAGAACGGCTTGAGACCTCTGTGGCAATCTTTGCAGGGTCGCTTTTGGACCGTTCCTTTGCGCAGGGGGCTTTTCCATATGATGGCCAGCCTTCCTGAGGAAATCGCCGAGGACCAAGCTCAAAAAGTCCCGAACTGGCACTTTTCGATGGGCTTTCCCCGCTCTGAGAAGAAGCCGGCTTGCTTAATATGGGTAGGCTTTCCCGTCTTCTCGTCGAAGAGATTGAAGCCGAAATTGGCCGCATGGGGGGGGGTGTAGAGGTGGAGGGATACTGCCACGTCATTGTTCGACGGGTTGGAGATCTTGTGAAGACCAATCTTATCCGATATGTACGTGACCTCATTCTCCGAATATAAGGTCTCTTTGACAACTTGTGGTGGCGTCGAAGCGCCGCTCGAGGCGTTTGAGGCGCCCAGTTCAGTCGCACATTGGGGTAGGGCGTACAGTGTTTCCTTGAGATTCCCTTTCAAGATCTTCATCACACAATGAGCCTCTGCGTGGTCGTGGATCGGACTACATCGGCCGGGATTCCACACAATGATCAGCAAGTTGGACTTGCCGTTCCCTTCGTCCACAAGATTGCGTGTGTAGTTCCGGCTTGGGTCTGCAAAGGCGTAGTGACGCCACTGGTTCTCTTGGGATATATACTGTTGCATGAGCCGAATCAGGTCATTCTCGTCCACGTCCTCAGAGTTTATGCCCGAGGAAGGCCCAAGCACGTCTGAGAGCGCTTGAACGAGACGGTGGAAGTTGTCGTCGGGGTTGATGAGACTGAGGCTAGCGTGATGCTGGGTTGGATAGATCTGGAGGTGGGCCGTATGAGAGCCAGTCGAGCTCGGCAGCAGTTGGTATGAAAGCATAGCGAATATGCAGTGGTCTGTTCGAACAAATATGGTGGATAGCAACTTGTGAGAGGGAGAAAGCGTAAGGAAAAGGACAGATGTTGTGAGGGAAGGCAGAGGAGTGAGCGAAGAGACAAGCAATTGAAGCGGTGTGCGATCTGGGAACAGGCGTCAGATAAGAGTTGCACAATCATCGGAGGCCGATCGCATGCAAGCACTTGATAACTGTGAGAGAATGCAGTAGACCTTTGTGTCAGCCTCTCAAGGCCATTGGAATGAAGGGCGCGGTCTCATGACACCCTGCGGAGAAGACAGCATGAAAGCGACGTTTCCGTTGTTCCGACTCACGGAAATGTGCTCGAGAAACACTTCCGGGAGACCGCCGTTGCGCAGAGGAAGGAATAACCTATCACCTCGTGCCAAAGGATGCCTCTCTGTCAAAAGACCAATGAGGTCGGCAAGGGCACGGATGGTTCGGGCTTGTCGGCGTTCAGAATGTGAGCCATTGGGCGATCGAGACTGGTGGAGACGCTGGGCTGAGCAGTTTTCGAGCGGCGACACAAAGCTACAACGAGAGAGAGAGAAACCGATGTTTTATGGGATGAGGCGACGACGACGTCTAGCAAGGCTGTTGAGGAAATGATATCCGAGCATATATGAAAAAGGAACAAGGCTTTGAACACGACATTGGAATTTCACTCATGGCTCACACATTCAATGGTACAAGCAGCAAGTCCTTTCATTGATCAATGATGGCGCCATCATTGATCAATGAGCATCGAGGAAACCACGCCGGCACCTCTAGCCGGGGCTCGCTACGACTTGCCGCTTCACCTTTCCTTCTGCTGCGAGGAATCTCGGCAAACCTGCCGGGTGTTTCTCTCCTACCGAGCCAACCAATGACGCAACCTGCATTTTCTCGAGCGCAAAGAACTGTCACACAGCATACGACTATTGACTCTTTTGACCGTGGCTTCAATCTGCGCCTCCTCTCCCGCCTCCAGGTCTCAGAGATCCCGTGTCTCCTTTTTGACGCTCGCTCCGACTCATCACCATCCATCTCCTTCCTCATTTCGAACCTCTCCGAGACCGGTAATTGTCCCCATCGGGCCACTGCTTAGACCTTCACGATGGCGACCACGGTGGACAAGATTAAGGAGATTGAGTCCGAGATGGCTCGGACTCAGAAAAACAAGGCCACCTCTTTCCATCTGGGCCAACTGAAGGCCAAGCTGGCGAAATTGAAGCGAGAACTCTTGACGCCGTCATCCTCGGGTGGTGGAGGTGGCAGCGGTTTCGACGTTGCCAGGACTGGCGTGGCTTCGGTTGGCTTCATTGGTTTCCCCTCTGTCGGAAAGTCGACCCTGATGAGCCGGTTGACGGGCCAGCACTCGGAAGCTGCAGCTTACGAATTCACAACCCTTACCACCGTCCCTGGACAGGTCTTGTACAACGGGGCGGCTATTCAAATGCTCGACTTGCCCGGTATCATCCAGGGAGCCAAAGATGGCAAGGGTCGTGGTCGTCAGGTAATTGCAGTCGCCAAAACCTGCCATCTGATCTTCATCGTCCTCGACGTCAACAAACCACTCACAGACAAGAGGGTCATCGAGTCCGAGTTGGAGGGGTTCGGAATTCGAATCAACAAGGAGCCTCCCAACATCGTGTTCAAGAAGAAGGATAAAGGCGGCCTGAACATCACAAGCACTGTCCCTCTCAGCCACATTGACCATGATGAGATCAAAGCCGTCATGAACGAGTACCGTATTTCCTCGGCTGACATTGCGATCCGGTGTGATGCTACCATCGACGACTTAATTGACGTCCTGGAGGCGAAGAGCAGGAGTTACATTCCGGTAATCTATGCGCTCAACAAAATCGACTCCATAACGATAGAGGAACTGGATTTGCTCTATCGGATTCCGAATGCCGTTCCCATCAGCTCTGAGCATGGCTGGAACATCGACGAGCTGCTGGAACAAATGTGGGACAAATTGCAACTCAAAAGGGTCTACACGAAACCGAAAGGCAAGCAGCCCGACTATACTGCTCCCGTCGTCCTGAGAAAGAACGCTTCGACGGTTGAGGACTTTGTAAGCTGAGACAACCATCTTGTGAAATTTCGCTTACTGACATTCTCGTAGTGCAATGCTATTCATAAGACAATCGTCGAGCAGTTCAAGCACGCGATTGTCTATGGACGCTCTGTCAAGCACCAACCACAACGAGTCGGCCTTGCACACGAGCTGGCAGATGAAGACATTAGTAAGTTCTACCACTCGCTCCTCCCATTTGGATCCGCATCTTTCTCACCTTCGCTTGCTCAGTCACCATCATCAAAAAGTGATCGTTGTCAGTCGAGTCTTCTGTTTCGGCTTGATAATTCCGGAGGCCTATCAGTATTCGAAGACGCTGCATTTAAGAATCAAGGCCGCTGCAAGGTTTCACACCGTCGGCCGCGGACCACTTCCCCGACCAACAAGCCTGGATGCTGAACCTCCCGTCATCCCCGCGACGTCGGATCTCGAACACTGTCACCCCTATTGACCGGTCAGCACTAAGGAACACAATGGTATGGCCAAATCAACTGTGTGAAAACGACCGTGCTGAT